AATACAACAACAATCAATTAGTGATAATATATAACCTTTATAAAATAATTTTTTACAGTCCACACTTAGAAATTAAGTTCTTGCTCTGTTTAATTGTAGATATAGCCTGGATAAAATTTTTGAGCAGATCAAATTAATTTGGTTTGTCCATGTGAGGTAATCTTTCAATCAGCTTAATTGAGGTCTGGAGCTGGCATGTTAGTAACTGCTAGTAGTCTGTTGTTTTTTAGGTATTATTGTCATTTTGTTTATTTTCTTTTGTTTCCTATTCTGACATCAGACTCTGACTTCTCTTAAACTGAGTTTTACTGTGCGTACTGTTGTACGTTTGTTTTTTCTACATTGGCTAGAGGTATAGGGGGAGGGTTGAGATCTCAAAAAAACATGTTTAACCCCGCCGCATTTTTGCGCCTGTCCCAAGTGAGGAGAATCTGGCCTTTGTTAGTCTTGTATCATTTTTAATTTTAGTTTCTTGTGTATAATTTGGAGTTTAGTATGACGTCCGTTATCACTGAACTAGTATACATATTTGTTTAGGGGCCAGCTGAAGGACGCCTTCGGGTGCAGGAGTTTCTCGCTGCATTGAAGACCCATTGGTGGCCTTCGGCTGTTGTCTGCTCTATGGTCGGGTTGTTGTCTCTTTGACACGTTCCCCATTTCCATTCTCAATTGTAAGGTTCAATTTTAATGCCTAAGTGGAAGATTGTATCACCCGATTGATAATAGTTAAACAACTTTCACTGTAATGTGGCATTTAATGGTTCCTCAACGCAATGCAAATTTTCTTGTACCTGTAGAGTTTGATAGCAGTTTCAAATTCTATTGTAATCTCTATTATTTTAAGATGAATGTCAAAGTGAATATATATCGATTATGAAATAAAACATAGACGTATATTTGTAAGAATAAAAGTGAGTTTATTTCATAGCCCTGAGAAATTTGCAATTAAGAAAACAGAAAAATAAAATTGCATTTTAATATTACATTTCAATATTACGTTAGGAAGAAACACGCCAATTACAATGAAAACAAATTGCACACACAAACAAACAAATCTCAAATTCCGAGTATCTATTGAAAAAAATGGAAATCAAATGTGTGATTCTAGGATATTTTTGTCTAGGGGTGCCTTGCATGTTCCCATTGAAATACATTTTCCATTTGAAAAATAGAAAATGCAAGGATATTTTTGAAAGGGAAAATGAAGAGAGGCGTTTACCCTTGCATGCATGTTCCTAGAAAACCATTATTTGAATGCAAATACGCAGTAAGGAGGCTTTTATAATTACACGAGTAAAGAATGTGTTACATATTTGCCAATGGACGTCACCGTAACAATGTATCAATGAAATATTCAACGATATCGTATTGACAATATCAATGATAATTCATGTCAACACCGAAGTGCTGACTACTTGGCTGTTGATACCCTCAAGAAATAGACCTCTACCAGCAGTTGTATCAACCAAGTGGTTGTAAATAAACTCATAATAGATAACAGGATGAACATTTTGTACGTAAGACGAGCTTTTCGTTTACAAAAGAATCTAACAGTGACGCTTGAATCAAAACGTAAAACGTTAAAAAAGGCAAAATAATGTACGAAGTTTTTTAAAAGAGCATTGAGGACCACATATTCTGGAAGGTTTTGCCAAATACAGCTTAGGCAATATTCCTGGGGTAAAATATCCTAATTATTATGAAAAATCAAATATTTTATAAACAGTAAATTTATAAATATGATCATATCAATGATAATTCATGTCAAGCCGGAGGTGATGAATACTGATTTGGTGATAACCTCGGAGAGGAAAAACATAAGCAGTGGCAGCGACCTAGTGATGTTAAAATAGTCTCAGTGATTGTAAATAAACTCATCATAGATAACAGGATATCTAAACATGCGTCTCTAGATGAAACAGAAAATAGTTCATACATAGACTCTTCGCAAAATTCAAACTCAGCATATATTGTCCAGAAATAAAGTCACACATGTAAACTCCTTTACTAAATCATACTCATAATTAGTCAAAATGACAACAAGTTTTAGGCAAATACCTTTCAAAAATATACGCAAACATCATGAATGTATAAATAACAACTTGTTTTCCTTTTGTTTACGACTTTTTGCAAGCAACAAACCTGTTTAATCATATCCCTAAAAAAATTATACGTCCACAGAGAAACGCTTATAAGGCATGGACCATTTGACTTTCTGGGGGGGCCTGGGTTTTTTGAAAAAAGAATAATCTGGCCTATTCAGTTGCTAAAAAATATATTTTGGCTTCATCTTCAGCAAGTATGACATGTATGATGTATTTTTTATCTTCGCTCGCTTCGTTCGCTTAAAATATCATCCACACATTGTAGTGTACTAGTACCTCACTTTTAAGATCTATGGAAAAACCTACAGACAGAACAGGAAACACTTGGTTAATCCTTGTTTTGTTTTATTTTGACCAAATCATTGACCAATGTGCGTTCTTACCAATATGTCATTTTGCATAGGTACTGGTATTATATACTATTAAAATGTAATATTTCAGATATTCTCTGTGTGGCATCACTTATGGCAATGGTGGGCATTTTAACTGCAATGTCAGAATGAACAGAACATTTTATCTCTATGATGGGTTGTAAAAGTATAACAGCAAAGGAACTTGGCTACAGAAAATATCAAATGGACCAAAGCCGTTACCTGGCTATGGACAAAACCATGTCTTGTATTCCAAAAAAATATATATATATAAACAAGTCTAAATTGAAAACAACGTTCAAACCTATGATTGCGTTGGATAAAAACCGCAATTTGTATACGTGTGCATGCAATATATATATATATGTGTCTTCCTCCCCCCCCCCCCCCCCCCCCCCGAAAGTCAAATGGTCCATGCCTAAGTATCGTGCGTTGATTGATCATCGTATATTCACTATCTGGGAGGTATTCATTTGACAAATTTTTGTCGCGCCTGTGATCATGACATTATGTCGCGGAAGCGAGGCACAGCGTTCATACATTCCGTTCAGTCTGTTGTGATTGTACTTTACAGTAGATGGAATTCATAGAATTTCATGAAACTTTTTTTATGATCCGGTGAGTATGTGTGACGAAAAATTTTGAAAATATATATATGTTTTCATTTTTCAATATTTTACAGATAAGTGACTTAGTTTTTGTAGTTTTCATTTACATACAGTATGGGATTTATTTTTCACATATCGACAATTTGATAAAACCTTCATGGAATATTTCATGAAAATTAGACAGTAACTTCTTCAAGAAAAAAAAAAAAGTACGCGAAGAAAACGTTCGATTAATACAGTCAACATTATATTCAAACACTCACGGAAGCAATTGCAGGCGAGACACAGGGTTCTTTACGATTTTTGTTTCATCTCGGTTGTATTGCCTTTCCTTTGAAAAAATAGCTGTTGGACTGCAATGGGTATCAAAAAGTTCCAATCTGATGCAAAACTATTTATCGGAAAATAAGAAAAGCACCTATATCAACGTTCTATCGAAAAACCGTTTTGCTGGTGTTGGTTTAGATTTATAGATGCTGAGGAGATACAAGTAAAGATGATTAGGAATATATCATTACGCTTGCCAACAACATAAATCCAAGTTTGAAATTTACTCGTTAGTTATCTAAATTCAGAATAACCTTCCTTGAAATCTCTCTTACGAATGGTATGATAACCCCAAACTTATACTCTAAGCCTACTGACACTAACCAGAACCTGTCCCTTAAAAGCTGCCATCTAGATCATTGTAAAAAAAGTATCCCGTATTCTGAGTCAACTAGAAACCCGCTTAAACAGGGATATAAACACCAGACGATGGAAATACATTTTTTTCAGGAAGCAACGAATATCACAAGGAACAAGCTCTTGGATTCCAAATATAAATTAAAATAAAAGGACTCCATGTGTTCTGACTTACCACCCATCTGTAAACAATAGTTTTGATGTCATCCGTGAGCATTTGACTTCAGTTTAAAAAAAAATCCCAAACTATCCAATATCTTTACCGATATTTTTTCTTTATTTTTCACAGGCACATACAGAATACGGCGGGTGTAAATATGTTTGCGGGCAATCAACCGTCCCAAAGTTGAAAAGACCAGATTAATCAGATCGACAGAAAGCATATACAAAAACAACTAACAAAAAGACATGACACAAAGTACATATCTGAGAGTTACACTGTTTAAATCTGCTATTGTTGTGCAGTCATCTATTATACTTAATGTTTCCATATTGATCAATACAATACAATACAATATAATATAATTCCAGGAAACTTTTGGAAACACAACATGCAGTTTAGGTGTAATACCACCAAATCATAGAACATCACATCCGGCTTCATACGAAAAAGGGTTGAAAAAAAATATTCCTTTGCATTTGACAGTTGTAGGAAATTAACCCTGCATTTCATTGCAGAAACAAATTTTTCTGAGTCATAAACGTATATCTTAGGTGTTTCAAAGCACCATTCTTTTTTATTGGCTGTTCCTATAAAATATTTTGGGAACTTCAGGTGGCATGGTTACTAAAGCTTGTTAACAGGGGGAAAAAGGGGTGCACATTTGATTGGTTTACTTCTGGTGATGGTTATGATCTTATATGCAACGAAATATTATGTGAAATTTTCAATGTAGTACTGGACAGGATAAAAATTTACTTATGCCTAGTGTTTCTTTATTTGAAACAAAGATAAATTCTGCACAATTTAAAAAAAGGCCAATTTAACAAAGACTAAAAGGAGCTGCTAGGTTTTAATTTATTTAGAGTTACACAAGTTTGTCTGTTCCTTAAGTTAATCAAAAAGGTGTAAACAAAGCCATTTAGATAGTTAAGATGGATCTAAACATATCCGTTATTGCTGTATTTTTATGGAATATCGAATTTTGTACCGTGTTCATTATAAACTTACACGTAAAAAACACTCATATCTTGCTTTTTTGTTTTAATTATTCAGTATAAAATTAACTTACCATATTTGTCACGGATACAACTTTTATTCGGATAGCGTATTTCCTATAAGGGTCTACGGTTACATAATTTATAATTGCATTGGTTGTGTGTTTAAATAGCTTAAAAACTCAGCTTAAAAACATTTATTGGAAATCATTACCCGTGATGTGCTACAATGTATGTCAATTAAACATGTTTAAATTCATATGAAACGAGTTTCTTGTATTTATAATGTTATCGAAATTATTGAATCAATTCATGCATATATAATAAACTAAGTCCTGTATGAACGTTGTTTTTTACCATTTATTACGAATCTATAACGTATTAACGACAAATAATATTTCATTCAATGATGATGGATCGCAAGCCCATTAACTTTCGAGTTTATTGCCGAAGTTTACACGATCGTGACATTGATAAACACAGAGCAAGTTGAGCATGAAAAAAAGTGAAATGAAAGAGCCATGATTTTTATTTATTTTTTGCATGAGTTCCCAATTGTCAATTTAACTTTTCCCTCAACAATTGCTAATTGATTTGGTGTATTACATTTGTTCTTTAAGAATCAGTTATTACTATTTAAATTTAAGTGCACGTTTGATCACGGATTTCCCCTCGCACTTTCGCTGTGTGGTAGCCGAAGTTCTACGAAGAGGTCTCGTAGTTAAAATCACTGCATATAGGAAAATATTGGTGAATATGAGTACGAGAAGGCAATAATTCAATAGCAGTACATTATGTAAGATTTTGATAAAATAAAGGATTTTTTTTACAAGAAAGTTCACTTGCATTTGTTTTATAGTAAAACTTAACCATTCAAGTATATAAAACATATTCAACTTTTGTTTTAAATTTGAAGTTTTAGATGACTTTAAGTTTGGGTTCTTTTGACTGGTGTATTCATGTATTGATGGTATGACAATGGATCAAATCAGATAAAATTTAATGTTTATAATGAAAATATAAATATTTGAGCTATGTGCACACCACCCGTTATAAATGTTTATTATAGAAAGTATGATATTGACGTTTTCGATGCTTAACAACACAACAACAAATTATTTTTCTTCAAAATTATGAAATATTGTCGTTATTGGTGACTTTAAATGGCCATGTGGGTAATAAACCATACCATCTTTTACAGATGGGTTGAACAGAGAATTACTGGACATAATGATAATTTAATTGAGTATATTGCTGATGTACCGTTAGACAAAATATTGTCACGGAAGATTTAAACTCACTGAACTCGTTTGATAACCGGATATTGCATTTATGTAATTCAACAGGTCTCAGGATTTGTAATGGACGTTTTGGTGATCAAAGCGGAAAAAATGCATTTCAAAATAAAAATGGTTGTTACAGTATTATAGATTACTTGCTGCTATCTGTTTCCTTTCCTTGCGTAATGTTTTAGTGGTCAAGAGTGGCCGCTAACCTTGTACAAAAATAACAGTAACATCTATACGTTCAACATGTACAATAGGGAAGAAAAAAATATCAACCATTTCAGAGGAAGGAGAAAAAAATATTTTGTCATTGCTTCAACCAAGAATCAATTAGGTTTATGGAAAAATAAAAAAACCTGATGTATATATATATTCTACATCCTATCAGAATCCACCATGTTTTGTTTGTGAATAACAAGTTATGCTGACAATTGACAACTTCCATATTAGCCAATGGTAGATTGTAAAGTAAATGTGATTTGTTTTCATTTATTATTAGGTTCGGTCAAACTGTTTATTTGATCTTCATTAATTATGTGTGTAATTTGATTCTCTTTTTTATTTAGTTATAACACCCTGTTTTCACAAATCTTAAAGATAGGAACGAAAGACTACCTATTTCTACGATTTGGAAAAAAGGACCTTTTGCCTATTGACTGAGAACTGTATTCCAAATCTTAAAAACTTATATTTTATAATACTAAAGGATAAGGAAACATTCGATCAGACAGACACTGATTCAAAAATTAATTTGTTCAGAACTTTACACTGCCGAAAAAAAACTCATTTACAAACTCTAGTAAATGTTGGAATTATATTTAATAGTACTGTACTTTCTTTTGCCGACAGTAATACATAAACTGAATAGGGCAATCTCTTCAGGAGAAACGTTTTATCTTCCAAATCTGGATAAACAGGTTTATTGATTAATAACCGTACATTGATCCCTCTAGATGTCTTTTTGCCTTTGTGTTGTTGCTGTTAACCTAATCATTGTGATCACAAGCGAGGTTGTAAACCATTTATATGCACACTTATTTTCTGGTCACATATTCATCTGTTCATCTTAATTTTTGTTAAAAGTGCACATAGGAATGAATGGTACTGATGGATGGAAAACTATAAGGTATAATGGAAAATTAAATGCATAATCAGGACAAGAACCCTGCTTTATATTAGACCAATACGCTGAGCTGGATTTTTAACGTGATAGTTCATAAGGTAACAATCCACAAGAATACTATTCGCATCTCGGATAAATTAGTGACGTTGTGATTGGTTTAACGCCGTCGTGTGGTGACCCCCAGTTGATCCGTAGGAGACCAGTAGATTCCGTAGGGGTATCATGACGTCACGTATATTATTAATGATGTCGTCATCTATTAATGTTATTGTATTTTGTTGTTTGTTTTTAAATAAAACTTTGCATGACAAGTCTCGTGTGCAATAAATTCGTTATACGGTTCCCTAATAGAGGTTTCTCAACATCTTACGAACTAACGAAAATTGCCCTAACTTGACGTTACTTACCGTAACGAGAAAAGATGGAACATTGATTTATTTATTTAATAATAATGGACTATCGGCTGTTCACTTCCCTTAGAAATGTCTTTTACATAAAAATACACATAAAGGTTTTGTTTTAAACCATTTTGAGTTGCAGACATATTATATTGACTTGATATATATAATATATATTATACAATTAACGATTCAATCAACACAGTAGTAAATCTAATCAATCAATTCGGCGAAGAATATGAAATATTTACACCAAGGACAGTAATCGTACCAGATGGTGATGAACATGACATCATATCGAATTTTTTAGTACATACATGTGAAAAAGGGTTAATGTAGAACTTCGGGATAGGAGGGGATACTTATCTAGGCTCTGATCAAAGGTAAAAAGTCCTGCGCAAAAATGAGGTAAAACAAATCTAGGAGGAAACGCCTCAAGGAAAAATCAGTTTTTAAATTGAAAAAAAAACAGGGAAATATTGAAATAAATATTCGAAGAAAAAACAGTTATCTTGTATCTTTTAATAACTATGTGACTATCAGTTTTGTTTGTGCTGTAGCACTAATACTTTCAACAAGAATACACAAAACTATTTTACTTTTCGATAGATCGAGTGCATCTTTATATTTCTGTTTCTGAAAAATAAAGTTAAATAAATAGTGGTGTTAACGACATATTTATCCAAGAAAGCATAAAACATGCCGTCTTATCTTAATGTAGGGAGAGATTCCTTTATTTTATTATTGAATACTATCGCATACATGAGGGGATCAATGAAGAAAGTGAAATGTCGTAAACGAAAACTTATCTCTTCACCCGAATGTTTATCAAAGTTGCTTTACACGTACATGTATACATGTACATGTATTAACCTGAATCAGTAAATATGAAAACTTTGTCAACAGTTTTTTGTTAATCAAATCAACTTCAGGTCAAACAGAAGTCAATAATAAGTTTGTGTCAGCTTTTTTTTTAACAACGACATTTAATACAAAAACAATGTTCTTTTTTTAATGAATAAGGGAGATAAATCGAACGCATATACGACATGTAAACAAACGAAACTCTACGTAAGATTACGCAACATTCAACAACACTAAATAAATTGGAACACTAATGTTTAACCACAACAATAAAATGCAAGGTTGCGAAAAGAATATCAAATTGTTTCCTGTTGTCTTTAAACACACTGCAATATCGATAGAAATTTGTTACTGAACGAAATCACTGCTCCTTAACGATACGTTCGTAGAGTTTCGTCCGTTCGTAAGATGTTGAGAAACCTCTAATAACCCACTGCGGATCGGAAGGGGGTCAGTACCAAACCATATAACTTATAAAGTCACCCTACCTGAACACATAATTCTGACTTCGAGCTGACCAGTATTTGCCCTTACTCGTTAATGCTACGTACGTAGCAGAGAAGCAGCAAATACGACTTTTCGAGTCTTTGGTTTCACCCGGCTGGGGTTCGATCCTACGACCTGAAGCACTCGAGGCGAGAAAGCTACCACGAGACCACTGAGTTGGTAACCTGGAACTGTAAATTCGAGAAAAAAATGAAGGACTTGTGAAGATCGACAGATGTGAAAAAAGTTATTGTGAATCGGCGGTTCAATTAATTTACATTGTAGTTCGGTCATTAGTTCTAAGCAATATATCTGTGTTTCAAACATATTACAAACATTATTGTATCAAAAGGGGAGGGGATTTAAAATTGTCATAAAAGTGTGAAAGAAATAGTTTATTTGTAAGTAAATTCACGATTAAAGTACCTATGCAATAGTCAAACTTATAAATGTCGTACATATAGCATTGTAATGGATTTTTTAGAAAACAGTTGACGTTGTTAAATACGATTGATTTCATTCCAACTGTGGATTAGGTGAATTTTATGCAATAAGGATTAATGAAGTTTACCTACAATAAGAATTGCAGTGAATCCAGCTCAAGTTAACTCTTGAATGATCTGACGAATTGATAGTTTAGAAATAAAATCAAAATTTAGAAAAATGTATCTATTTAATCGAAGACCACTAATATACACAGAACAATGATTTATAACGAAACAATTTTACAATCGTATAAAAGAATTAAAAGGCATTAAAGGACAAATACACTATAAAATATTGAAATTATGTACAGGGAAATGATTTGACTTGCGGGCACTCAATAGTATTAAACAACTAATTACACCTTATATAAGAAAGCCAGATTTTGATTGGTTGAAAGCAGTGTATTTTTCGCATATTCTAATATTTTTTCCTCATTTCAAACGAATTTGCATGTTTTTCACCACTGCCGGTGAATTTTCCTCA